CTGCTGCCATATCATCCTCGCTCGCAACTCCCATGATATCTTCAACTGCTTCCCTTGCTCGGCCCTCCCCTTCACCGAGGTTAGGTGAATGGCGCAAAGTTGTCAACGAGTTACCACCTATACAATCTCGCCCGGACAACGATAGTACACCGAAAATTTCGCCCGCCAAAGGTGAAATGGCGTTCGGTCAAGCTAGACTAAGGGAGTTGATAAAGAGATACCAAGGTCAATAGACAATCATACCCTCCAATTTCTTTTCTGCATCTTTTCGTGTTCTCGTTTGCTTCTTGTTTCGTTGCAATTGTGTTTCGGTCAATGACTCTGGAAATTGTATAATGTACTGCACACACTTATTTTTATTCATCCATCATGTTTGAATTCTTTCGAATCATGCTTTGACTTATTTTCTTCTTTTTCCCTTCTTCTTGCTTATCTGTAGTACTCCACAACACCTGTTACGACTCATTACGAACTCATACCATGACCACGTACTTATTGACCAATCTGCGAAGGACTGGGATAACATTGCCAATGCGCTGGGACAATCCGAGATAAGGTGGCTACTAACTATATAGTTCAACGGTGGGATTTGTAAGAGAAATCAAACAGGAAAGGTAACGTAGAGAATTGTTGGTCATTAGTATCGGTGAACGTGAACGAATTTTCAACCCAAGAAGTATTTACAAAGTGAACCAGTGCATAGACACCCGCTTTGAAATGTCATTGTCAAGGAGGTCCTGATTTCTGAATTGATGGAATATATAACACAGAATCTATTGCAGCCTGAGTTCTGTCCCGGGAGAATTAATAATAATATTGTGACTCGTTTTAGACATCCTGTCGTTCAATATACGGTCACGTGACTGGCATCTCCTTCGGGCCGGCGAATAGGTATGTTGAAGAAGAACTGGGCGCCTATCCCAACTTGAACTTCAACAACGACTTCGACTCATTGCAACCTCACAATCTACGCCGTCTTGACAATATCCCGGGAATCCATTGTCAGAAACAGTAGCTATAAGGTAGCTTTGTCTGTTAAGATGATATTGGTCATTGTTCTTAGAGAATTGTGATACTTTCTAGTGTTAGGTGTTAGTGCCACTCAATTTATTTCGCCTGGTCACAAAGAACTTTTCTTGCATAAACGTGGTGAGTATTATTTTAGCACAATCCACATCATCTCTATTGTACTAATTTGATATTAAGTACCCAATCCACACAATCCGCAGGTGATTCGCAGCCCATCAGCTAACACACAACATATATAAAGAGGTCGATTTTTCCTGAACGGTAATTATCTCTCCTTTCCCTCATCCTCACTAGTTCTTCCACTCTATCCTACTTGCTCGTATCTCTGCTTGAACATGGCTGATGCTGTTGTTGACAGCTATCAAGATACTGAGAAGGCTCCAGTCCAACCCAGAAACCCATCGACACCTGTTGCAAATAAAGTCTCTGGCCAGGCTTACATCCCCTGGGAAGGTTTCAGTAAACGTGTAGGACATCGTGAAATTAATCGCGAGATGATCAGAAATGAACTTGATACCCACATCGCTCAAATTCCAATGGACGAATTCTTGAACCAGTTTGTGCCACCGAAACTGAAACCCGAAGACGAGGAGATTGCAATCGATGCTGTCCGGAGAAAAACTGTAGTAGACAGTCGCTTGTTGAAAGCCAAAGGTCCAGAGTCAGAACGCTATCTTCCCCTAGTGAGTTAATGTAATTCGTGCTTTTAATCTTACTTGTTCAACTCATCTTGCATTAGATGAAGCTCATCGAGCCATCATGGGAGGGCACTGACATAGTTGCTCGAAATGTGTCCCGTTGGGGGCCGAAAAAACCTCATTCGAAGATCACTCCCGACATCGTTGCATACAGATGTGACCCCAACCGCAAGACCCCTCACGATATTCCGAAGGAAGAACAGCATTCATCCAAGTCAAAGAAAGCAGCAGCCTCAAATTCTACCGTTTGTACTCCCTCAATACCCGACGCTGGTCCGTCCACAGTCACCGCTGCAGATTCTGCCGCTTCCTCTTCATCACTCGACCCTGCCTCTGGTTCTATCCCTGTAGACAGGGGTGTTTCCTCTTCATCGTCACCAAATCCCCTTATCAAGGAACCGTCTGACTATGTCGCTCGGATGAACTACCATGATGTTCAACTGTTCCTTGAAGACAAGGTCGATAATGATTCTGCGCCTTTTCAGAAGAAGCCTAAGGACGACTTTCTTCTCGACAACGACAGAAGCAAGGCATCTCGAGGACAAATCGGCGAATATGCAGCAGAAATACTACGCCAACAACATCGTTGTTACCTGTTCAGTATCGTCACAGTCCATAACACTGTTCGCTTCCTTCGCTGGGACCGCTCCGGAGTTATCATGAGCGAGCCCGTCGATTTCAGTACAGACAGCGGCCTGAAGATTTTCATCACTTTCCTATACCGTTTTGGTCGTATGACTCTTCGTGAGCGGGGAACGGATACTACTGTTATGGATCCCAACGCAGAGGATCTGAAGCAGCTGCAAGAATTCAAGACCTCCAAGCTACAACATATACCACTCAGCCACCAAGAATTTTTCAGTGAAGCTTTTGACGACAAAGAAGAAGCCAATTGGCCACTTCGTGCAATCGAGCTGGAGCCATTTCATTGCCAAGATACGAAGGAGAACTCCACTAATCCATCTGACAAGAAGATTCGCCTTCTCATTCGTGCTCCAAAAGTATCCACTCGTTCTCCATTTGGCCGTGCGACGAGAGGATTTGTGGCGTTGGATGTTGACGAGTTAAAGTTGAAATTTTTGAAAGACGCTTGGCGATACGATGGAGGCACCTATAACGCGGAGCTAGACGTTTACAAGAGGCTATACAAACACAAAGTGAAGAATATTGCGACGGTTGAAGGTGGCGGGGATGTTCCTGATCCTGATCCTCAGGTTGCCGAGTCAAAGTGGCAGGCCCAAAAGACAACCGCACATAAATATCTTAAGACCGACGGGATCGCTCATCTTTCTCAAGCTCATCATCGTCTTCTCATCCGTCAACTCGGAACACCTTTGGAGAAATACTACTCATCGCGCCATCTTTGTTATTACCTATTGAGGATAATCGACGGTTCGTACTACTCGTTCTCTTGACCGCATTGTGACACTAACTTTGTTACGAACTCTAGGGCACTGTTCCGCATGGACCGAAGCAGGAGTTCTCCACAGAGACATCAGCCCAAATAATATGCTCTTTTGTGAAGATCCGGAAGACATGGAAGATCTGCCATCTTTCCTTGTAGATTGGGACTTGTGCAAATACAAAGAGCAACTGAACAATGGGCCTTCTCAGAAAACGCGTTCCGTAAGTACACTTTTTGCTGTCCGAGCTGTATCTAGATGTTGAAACTTATTTTCAGGGAACATGGGCATTCATTTCTGCGCTTCTGCTCCGCTATCCAACGAAACAACATGAGCTCTCCGATGACCTTGAATCCTTCGTTCACGTCCTTCAATGGTTTTGCCTTCGGTTCCATACACACGACATGAGCAGCCGCCCTGCGGATATCGCTGAGAAATTAACAACCGTTTACTTGAAGGCTGCCCAAGATGAACAAGGCTTTGAAGAATGTGCGAAGCTGAAGCTCGAATACATGCAAAATGGCAATCGCTACTTCTCTTTGATACCGGGGCAAGTTGCAGAGGGTTTGCAGACCATCATTACCAAGATGTCGGATTTATGCAAGAAGCATTATGCTACTGTTGACATCAATGCGTTGGAGAAAGCTCGTATCGAACTCTTAGAAAAAGCCAAGGCCGATGGACAGTCAGCACAAGCTCAACCTTCTACTTCAAACACGACAAAGAAGCCACAGGCCATTCCTGCTCTCATCGGACTTGTTGAAAATCCAAAGCCAAGACCCATCGCTATATCAACTCCGAAATCAGACCCATCTTTGATCTCTCCCTTCCTCACTCATGCTGAACTTCGAGACACCATTGACATCACTGTTACCGATACACCCCAATGGGTTATGCCAACCCCCTCTAGGAATCCGGAGGCTTACTTCACTGATAAACTTCCTGACCAGTTCACCGATGCCATATACAAGATGCTGAGTATGCATGGACCAAAGATCCATAGTATGTCTCAATCTTCGACAACCGGGAGTAAACGCAGCTCATCTGCTGCGAACCTTGAGAGCTTGGTCCTCCCAAATAGCAAGCGGTCTCGAACGTCGGGAGATCAAGGCGAGCAGCTCGAAACGAGGTCACAGAGCAGTGCTGCCCATGGAACACTTTCTTTACCTGCAACCGTGATCGAGGAAGATGATGTTTTCACATAATCCGGTATCGCTATCGTTTTTAATCTTTCGTTGTCATATGCACGTAAATGTATGGACTTTTATCTTACCAGTCACCGGTGATGTAACGCTCGTATGAGTACTGTTTTTGTCTTTGTAGGTTGCATGTTGCTTGTAATTCACTATATATTTGCTGAAATGTTTTTACATGGAGGGTGACTTTACTGTTTAATTGCTGTATCGCGAGGAAGTTTGTTGATGAAGTGCATTGCTTTACTAAGATGAAACCCCGTACATATAATCATTCTCCTATTCTACACAGCTTCTAACAAATTTACGGGTAGATGGTCAATAGTTCTTGGTACACTGCGCAAGTTATATTGTTTAAATGATTTCACGGAAAATTCAGGAATGATTTCTCAAAGAGAACGCATGAAGACATAAGAACGAACATCGCATAAGCTCAATTCTGACCTGAAAGGTGGCAGTGACTGGTAAAAATCTCGTCAGAACCACTGTGGATGTAGTTGGGGGAGCCACAAAAGTGCATGTATGTTAGGGATTGGGATAGCCACCATGGACTCAGAGAAGCTGAAGTATCTATCATACCACGGTGCTCAGGCAGCTTCATTTTCCAATGCCGAAGACGAAACATCAATTTGAAAAAAGTAGCAGGAATATATAGATAAAGATATATTGAAAGATATGCCTGCCTAGCTCAATCGGATAGAGCGTCAGACTTTTACGTAAGCGTGTCACGTGAGCAATAATCTGAAGGCTGCGGGTTCGACCCCCGCGGTGGGCTAACGTTACTTTCTTTTTCCTGTCATCTCACTATCGCTGACAATTTTAGAGAAATATTATTTTTCAATATTTTTATCTTTGAAAACACGCCTCACAGATACTACGGGCCTATTTGCTAATGGATAATCTATCCCCGTTTCTCGTCCCTTCCGTCTTCGACGACGCGATCGAGTTTCAAACTCCGAACCGTTAAACAACATCACGTGCACCGCGTCTTCCAATCAAAACACAACGTCTACTCGTGTCAATCCCAATTTGGAAGGTGTCTAAGTTCGAAAGACAGGCAGCCTCCAACACGCTCGAGGGTCGAAAACATATAAATACCCCACTATTTCCAACGGTTAGTAAAGCAGGCTCTACTTTCCCCCCACTTTCTACTTTCATCTCCTCTCCTCATCTCATTGTTGTGTTCGTGGCTCTCTCTGCGATTTCAAGCGTCTGCAGCGTTTGTCGTCGTTGGTTTGTGGCTCTTGCTCGATGGCGATGGTGTCGAAGGAGGTTGAAGTGGTTCGTGGTGGGCTTTCTCTCTCTAGGCGACAACTCTTGATTTCTTGGATTGCTGTGGCTTGCGGGTGAGGATGATAGAGGTTAGAGGAGATGGGGACTCTGGGGGTTGGTACTCTGACGATGAAGCTCGGCACTTTCGACAATCTCGACACTCGACACTCTCTGGCGACATGACTGTTACTCTCTGGCGACGGGGCTATCATGGCTGGAAACCTACTTCCATATGGCTGGGATCCTACTTCCACAAACCAAAACCTCGACCCCTATACACTTTTAGATATTCCGGCGGAAGCCATCCACCTTTCTCGTTCGTAGTAGAGGTAAGTGTCTTCTGCTTCTATCGATCGACACACTTGCTCACAGGTTACTTCATTCACAGACTCGCGCTAGGTCACGGGAGTTACGCTTCGGCGGATGTTGTTAGCGAGAGTGGCGCCGCACTCGAGCTCAGGATCTCAGGTATGTGGTTGTGAAGTGCTGACCTCTGCATCAGGTTCCGAATGGATTGTAAGGTGAGCACCATTCTATTGGCCTTGTATTTGACATATAGGAGGTGGATGTTTATGGGATCGGCGATGGCGGTGAAGGAGAAGAATCAGGTTTGTGACACTGACAGTTCAAGTCGGCTTCGATCTCGCTATCCTTCTTCATTCTGATCCTCTTCGACATCACAAGTTACTGGCTTTCAGAGGTTAGTGACACCATCTCGTTTGTGGACTGACGGGCCCAGGGCTTCTTTCCCTTTTCTTCAGCTAGATCGAACTCTGGGGAAGTCACGAAGACCCGCCGGCTATCAACTGCTTCTTTCTTTGGATTCGTTTCTACGATTTCTTTCTTGTTTCGGAGTAGAGTAGTGGGTGGCCACCCAAGTAGATAGTTTCTCGAGGAATGGCGCGGACCTTTTCGTGGTCCTCGGGATAAGTACCTCTCTTTGGAGAGGGAAACCAACTCGCGCCTTGTATGTATACTAGCATAGCACTAGCATTCTATCAATATATTGAAGTTGAACAACGCAGCGATCGAAACTGAGCTGAATTGGCACGGGAGTGATCATGGATCCGGACTTCGAATGTGACACGAATATACTCTCCGATTGAGGTCCTTCTTTGCTCCATGCTGTCTTTTCTGTGTCCATTCTCTTCACAGATGCTGCGAACGAGTCTGTCACATGTCCCTTGTACTCAATAACAATACATTGATAGACGAGGATTGTTTTACATACAGATACATACGTTCAGCCTAACTTCAGTTTATTGATTCAGAGAGATTCTGACCTGAATTCAAACCTCCCCAACCTTCTTGACACCAACAACAACTCTCTCGTTTCTTCTCCAGAATTCCACCAGAACTTCGGCCAACTTCGCAGGATCATCCTACAAATTTGAATTTAGCAATGCCGCATGAAAACAAAGAGAAAAGGAAGATAGGATAGCAATACATACCTCGTGAACCATATGACCAACGCCTGCTAGAACAACAAGTTGGAACTTTCCTTGCATTTGACCTATCATAAGTTCTTTATCCAATCTCTCGGTTCCAGCTAAAACCAATAATCTCGCTGTTCGGGCAGATAGGAATTTACTTGAAAGACCAGTGAACCAACCTATCAGAGAAATTCATCGTAAAGAGCATCAGTGAACAAATTCTCTGTTGAAAGCAAGAGAATGGTTACTGAACTTGACCAATATGGTGCCGTTGCTCGAAGTGGTGTTCTCCAGACATAAGCAGGACTTTGACCGGTTGGGTTTGGCTTGATGATAGATGGTATAGAAATCCGCGCAGATTCGACATTGCGAATAGCATGGGTAATATAGCTATATGCGAGTGAATAAATCCATAAAAGATAATCAGGTCGGTTGCGAGAACGTACTGCCATTCTACAGCGTCTTCCGGACTGGCAAACCCGTCGGGTCTGGCATCTAGAAGATTGTGCATCATTGGAAGGGCTTCTAAGGTAAATTCTGAAAAGGATTCGTGAAAAACTTTATAATCAACTTCTCATCCATAGAAATATATATACCTTCGACAACATCCAGAACTGCAACACCAGTAATTCTATATTTCTTTTCCTGAAGACCAGGGCATGCTCGAACGCATACAGATCCTCCCAAACTATGTCCTATCAACTGCGATAAGCGTTTTCGCATTAATTTATATGCACTTTGTCAGATATAGCAGAGTTGAACATACCAATAAAGATGGGGCTTTGGAAGGATCAGGGAAGACGGTCGAGATGAGATTGACTAGATCACTCGTAAGAGTATCTATCGACAGATCTTCCTGTTCTGCAGTGACTGCATCTTTGATTCTGACTGTCTTTCCTACGGAGATATAGTTTCAAGATTTAACACAGTGAATATGATTATATGAACGAGAATAACTCACCATGACCTCTACAATCCAAACTCAAAACACCACATTCACCTTTACTCAACCTTGCAACCTCTTTAGCAAACAAAGCGAAACTCAATCCAGAGTACCCAGCTCCATGGTGACATATGAATACAGTTCCATCTTCAAATTTGGGAGGTGTGTAATATGCTCTAAAATCTAAATCAGAGGGCTCGACAATGATTTGTGAAGCTTGTTCAAAGTAATTTGAAGCCGAGATCGGTGCGTAATCTGGGTTTGGCATTCGCTTTCGTGGATATCTAAGTGATTTAATAGTGGAATGGGGAGAACGAAGAAGATGAATGAGTATGTATCTCGAGGATGCTATAACTGTTATTTGCCTTGTCGGAGCAGGCATGGTTGGATGAAGGTCACCTATCGAATCCGCAGCTTCAGCTTCTTCATCTCCATCTTCCATTTCTTCATCATCGTGGTGTGCAGGTAAAGGGGGTAACTTCGATACTCGTGCGTGAATTGCTGAACGGTATAAATCTGACATTTTTGGTCTTTGGAAAAGGGGTATGGGAATAGTTTATCGATAACAGTATAGCAATGTGAAGAGCGGTATAGCGAGATTTTCCTTAGCAGTTTAGGTCGTTTCTTTGGCCGAGCCAGTAGACGATGTATGTTAGTGAGATAGTGGTAGATGGTCAAGGCCACTAAGAAATTATGAAGTCATGCTGCATTGATCTGTAGAAAGACGCCCAATATATAATTTCACGTTCGAAGAGCAGTATACTGTATAGAATCCAATCATCAAGACGTTCAAGACTTCCGATCCCAGTGAAATCTGGGAGACTAATGTTGGAAGTATATGCATAGCGAGGAGAAGAAACTGAGATTTGGAAGTCGTTAGGTACTAGTACCCTACCAGTACTGAGTCGTAATCATAACTATGTCGTGACAAACAAGGTAGCGCAAAAACAAGAACAAGCAAACAAAATAAAGCAGAAGTTGCAGGACATTGAAAAAGAGAGCAAGAGGGAAAAACAAGAAAAATCGGATTCCAATAGATGGGTGATGTGATGGTAGTATGTGGAGGTAGACGTGGTAAGGTATCGCAAGGTGTAGGAGATATCGCAGCGTGAAAGAGGGGGGGGGGGGGTGTGGAGCAGAGATACGTGAGATCAAGGGGGGAAAGAGGAGGGTGGATGAAGGGAGGAAATGCGTGATAAAGATAGATGATGAGTGACTGATACATATGCCAAGAGAGACCTCAACCCGAAAATGAAGTATGCAATAAACACCCAGGATGGAAACGAAAAGGGAGAAGAACATATAGAGCAGATATTACTTCAGAAGAGGCCACGATTACCAACCATCGTTGGTATATTCGTGATCGTCACTTCCCATCCATAACCTCTCATGTTCTTCTGGTCCTAACCCGGGAGGTGATTGTTGACCAGAGTACGGGGAAGGCATACCAGGGAAGTGCATCCTCGTTCCAGTGATAGGATCTGTCAGAGCAGTAGTCACACTTGAATGGCCAGCAGAGTCATTCGTCCGACAAGATGTTATCGTTCCTTCTCCTTGACCCATAAGTAACGGGATTCTTGATGGGGTAGGAGAACCATCAGTCGAAGAAAGGAACGAATGAAGGAGTCTAGGCGGCCTTTCGAGGGGCGAAGACGGTGAAGAAGGTCGTGAACCAGGTGGACTAGCGACTGGCCATGAAGGTCGAGGGTAAACCGCAGAGAGAGGCGGAGACCTCACAGGAACAAGTTCATCTTCATCTACAGTCCCAAGAAGTTGTCTTCTCCGGTCCACATCCCTTGAAGAAACCGAACTAGCGTGTCCAAGTGAAAATCCACTAGATCCAGATCGAGCATGTGAATGAGCAGAGGGTCGTGAGGAATTAGATCCAGTAAGTGTATGTCTAGCAGAAGCTGGTGCAGAGCCAATAGCACTATGTGAAGCATAAGGACTGAGGTGTGATCGCATAGAATGTAATGAGCCTTCTTCAGAGTTCGTCAAGTTGTGTTGGTGGACGACTACAGGTTGCTGTAGCCAAAAAGAAAAATACTTAGCCGAGCGCTCAATCTTGTTGAGGTTGAGCGTAAAAACCACTTACGGATCCAAAGGTCGTTCGCCTTGTTTCGGTTG